GCTCCTCAGGCCGCTGGGACCTGCGCCCCACCCAGTTCCCACCCACCCTCCCCCAGCACCCAGTGCCTTCTGCCACGCCGCGTGCTCTGTCTCTGCCTGGTCCCCGGGCCCAGGCACCCGTTCCCTGTTAATCATCTCTGATAAAACAGGGTGTCTCTCATCTGTCATCTTTACCACCTTCCCCCAGCCCGTGAGCGCCGCGGGGCAGGGGCCTCGCGAGTCCCTCCCCGCCTGCAACGGTGCCTGGCATACGGGGGGGGGGGGGGGGGGGAGGGAGGAGGGAGGGAAGGGAGGACTCCCTGGGCTCCATGTGTGGGTGGACTCACGGGGAGCCCAGGACACACACTTCCTAACGCAGCCTGGGTCCCAGGCCACTTGAGAAGCCGGGGCTTGGAGGAGCCAGAGCAGTGGGAAACCCGAATCCGTGAATTTGTGGGCTGCGCCATCCCCCCAGAGGGGCCCATCCCTGCGCCCAGCACTCCAGGAGGGGTGGACAGCGTGGCCCGAAAGGAGGTGGCTTGTGGTCTGCACACCGCATCCCATGCCCCAGGCCCCCAGCGTCCCCCCGGTGTGCCAGGGACGTGAGGGCACGTGTGACCCGCCACCATCGAGCCCCAGCCCGAGGTCCTCCGGGCTCCAAGCCCTGAACTCGGCTGCGTCCTTACCGTCCCGCGTGGGAGGGGCGTCCGCGCCTCCAGCTAGAAGAAAACACAGGGGTCACCCCAGCAACCCTGACGCCTGGCACCCCCCACCCAGCGGCCACATCCCAGTGCCTGTGCCAGCGGCAGGTGCACAGCACCTCACGTGCGTTCGCTGTAAGTGGGAGTCACTCCTCTGTAAACCCCGAACTGCTCGGAGAGTCCACTAATTAAAGAAACGTGAGGAGCACTCTGTCACCCCCCAGGTGAGGAGGAGCACTCTGTCACCCACCCCCGAGGTGAGGAGGAGCACTCTGTCACCCCCCAGGTGAGGAGAGAGCACTACACCACGTGAGGCACCCACCCCACAGGACAGCCCAGACCAAGACTCAGGCTCGCCGTGGGAGGCTGGGTGTGGGGCCCCCTTCCCTCACGCGTGCTCTCCTGAACCCGAAGCGAGCTTGAGAAGGTCTCCTGCCCATTCTCCATGCAGGGAACTCACCAACACCTTCCGGAACCCATTCCGAACCCGGACGTACAGCTCCTCCGTCTCGGCCACGAAGATGAGCCAGCCCTCTGGTACCTCCGGCACCTGGTCCAGCATGGTCTGGTACGTGGCCCAGATCCTTACCTGCGGGAAGCCCGACCCAGGGGGTCCCCGTCACACAGAGGTGGCACCTGGGCTCAGTGGTGGGGGGGTAGGGATGAGGACACTTCCAGATGAGAGTCCTGAAGGCTCAAGCGGGTTCCTTTCTCGATGAGGCTGCTCCCTGGGAATGCTCTGTGGCACCGGGAGGGTGAGGACACCCTTGGGGAGGGCTGGACGCCAAGTCCCCGTGTTCCCTGTGAGCCCTGCTGGGGACCCTTCTTAATGGCCGTCCTCCCCTGTCCTCCCCTGCCCCCCGAGTCCCCCAGCCGCCCCCAGGCTTCCCACTTCTGCTTTGCAGACCACACGTCAGAGCCGCTGTGCGTGTGTGCCCACCCACGGGCCCGGAGAAGGGAGGGCAGCCGGGCAGGTGACTGGGTGGTGAGCGGCTGACCCGTGCAGAACGGGGTGGGGGGGCTCTCACCCCTGAGGAGGTGCCCATGGTTCCAGGGGGTCCAGGGGGCCCAGGGGGGCCTGGGGGGCCAGGAACACTGATCGCTGCAAGAGAGGGGCCAGAGATGGGGACGCGTGGCCCGGGCTGGACGAGGCTGGAGCTCAGGCACCTGTCCCCTGCCCAACTTACTCTGCCTGTAAGGGCCGGGGAAGGAAGGGGGCCCCGGGGGGCCAGGGGGCCCGGGGGGCCCAGGAGGCCCCTGACGCCCCTCATGGCCGATGCCAGGGGGTCCCTGAGGTCCGGGTGGGCCTGGCTGGCCCCGAATGCTCTCTCCCTTGGGACCCTATGGGAGACAACAGAACGCGTGCCAGAGGCCCCGCCTGCCCACACCACGGCCCCCCACGCGGTGCGCCCTGCGCTGGGACGGGACCCCGGACCGCAGGCCAGAGCACAGCCTGGAGAGAGGCTGGTCCCCCGAGGGCCCCGTCCTCGCTCCACCCCTCAGGCGGGCGCGGGGGCCGTGCCGCCTGGCATCTTGTAGCGGCACCGGCAGCAGGACAGGCGTGAAGGGCTGGGTGAGGGCCCCTCGTGCCCCCCATTCCCCCAGCTGGCTGGACGGGCCCCCAGGCCAGTGAGCCACCAGCCCCGCCCCTGCGCCTGCCAGGAGTGGGGGCAGCCTCTCGGCCTTGCGGGCATCCACAGCGGGCTGGACCTGGCCCGGGACCTTGGCGACATGGGCTCTGGGGCAGAACTGCGGGCGGCCGGGAGCCCAGACTTACCGGAATCCCAGGGTCGCCTGGCGGGCCGGGGGGGCCGGGCACACTCGAGCTGAAGAATCTGCCACTCCCGGGCTCACCCCGCTCGCCCTTCTGCCCCGTCTCTCCTCTGTCGCCCTTCTCCCCCTGTGGGTGGGAAGGCCGGTGTGAGGCAGCCCGGCCCCCGCCGCTGGCCTGGGAGGGGAAGGCCGGCCCCCGGGGGAGCCCCGGGTGGGCAGCGTGAGGCGGCCGGAAGCTTCTGGAGCCCAGCAGGTCTGGCAGATGCTGCGGGACGGGGCTCGGCTCCCCGCCTTCCCGGGCCCCCAGCCGGGGTGCGGCAGGCGGCAGGGACGTGAGTGACACCCACCTTCATCTCGGCCTCCAGCTGGAGTAGGTCGAGTGGGAACTGCCCTGCAGGAGGGGGGGGGCCGAGGTGAGCGTCTGGGCAGCGCCCCCCCCCCCCCACGTCCGCGTGTTTCTGGGCGGCCCTCTGCGGTTCTGTTGCACGGGTTCCCAGGCACCGGGTGCCTTCTGACACTTTTGTTCACGGCGCCCCCTGAATGTTTCGGCCGTGCAGCGGCAGGACACACCAGGGAGGCTAGTTCACACCCGCAGCCTCACAGCTGGGGACGCGGGGAAACACGAGTCGTGGACGGGAACACGGGGACGCGCCTCACGGGCGGGGACGCGGGGGGGACGCGGCGCCCCACAGGCGGGGACGCGGGGGGGACGCGGCGCCCCACAGGCGGGGACGCGGGGAGACGTGCATCCCCCTTGTGACGTGAGTTCCAGGAGGCGTCTGGGGGCTCGGGCGGTTCCCGTGACGGCCACCTGCCTCTGGCAGCCTGTGCTCTGATCTCCTTTTCTAAATGGCACCTTTTTAGAATTTCTTTTTATTACTGGTTGTTGATTTTTGTGAACTGTTCCTGTGACCTTGGTAATTCTAACGGTACGTTCTTTTGGGTGATGTTCACTAACGTGTCCGTACAAATGGCCGTTATTTCTTCCTTCGCAAACCTGCCCCCGCTCCCGGGCTGGTGCCGACAGGGCCACCCCGCCAGGCGCTAGAGGTGCGGGGGGAGCAGCCCTTGGCCCCTCGCTCGCTCGCTCGGCTCCCTCCCTCCTCAGTCCTGCAGGGGGCGTCCCGGGATTAGCGGTCTTTTCAAAAAACTACCTTGATTTGTCCGTTTGTTTGTTCACCTCCGAGCTGTACCATTTTCCCTCTCTTCTCTAACTTTTTCAAAATACAACTGATTGTCAAGTTGGCTCCGACAGTGCACACGGTGAGCTCTTGGTTTCAGGGGAGATTCCTGGGATTCAGCGCTTGCGTACCACACTCAGGGCTCATCCCAAGTGCCCTCTTCAGTGCCATCTCTTTTCTTAAAGGTAAGTTTGCTCTTTGTTTTCTGACTTCTTGAGCTGAGTGCTGAGACCCGTGTCCTGCTTGAGGCTGTGAGCTCCTGAACAGTTAACAAGCCCCACGCTGGGTACACCCGCGGCCTGGGCCCCGCAGGGCTGGCTGATGGCGTGTGGCCCCCATCTGGGGGGCCCTGCTGTTGTAGGGCCGCTGCGGCCGCAGGCTCGGGGCTGGGAGGCTTCACCCGCTTCCACATGCCGGTCCCACGTGTCCCCTTTCCGCGTGGCCTCTCCTCATCTGGACGTGCGCTGCTCTGTGGTCATTTTCCAGTCGCGTCTCTGATGCTGACTTCCTGCTCGCTTTCTGCCAGGCGAGGGCCCATGGGGTGAAGACGGGGTCCCCGTGTTGGTGCCAGGGCCCCAGAGGTCCGGGTCAGGCTCCATCTCCTGCTTCGGCTGTTCTTTTGTGTGCTGGTGCCGTCATGTACTGAGCGCCGGCCCCGCCCCCACGACGGCAGAGCTGTGTCCCTTCTCCCCTCCGTTGCTGCTCTTTGCACTGAAGCCACGTTAAGATGCACAGGGATTTGGAATCGCTGCATTTTTCTGGTGGGCTTACAACCCTTTCTCATTATGGACATTTTTTTTGTTTTAACTTCTGGCAATGTTTCCTGCCTTTAAGGTATGCTTGTCTGATTTCTCACACACACACAGGTAGTTGTACACATACATACATGCACACAGGTGCGTTCACAGATGCACACAGGTGCATGCAGACACACCCATGCACAGAGGCACACCTAGGCACACACCTATGCACCGATGCACACGCACACAGGTGCACGTGCACACCGGTGCATTCACAGATGCACATACGTGCACAGAGGAACTCACATGTGCAAAGTGCACACACAGGTGCACTCACAGATGCACATATGTGCACACAGAGGAACTCACACAGGTGCACATGTGCACACAGAGTGCATGCACATGCACAAGTGCAGTTACACAGGTGCACTCAGATGCACACACATGGGGGGTCTCACACATAGGTGCACTCACAGATGCACATACTTGCACACACATGCACACACATGCACATGGAACACACGTACACACTCAGGTGCATACGGGGAACACATGCACACACAGGTGCACACATGCACGCACACACAGGCTCGGTTGCCTGCCCCCATCCCGCATTCAGCCTGTGTGTCCGTCCTCACATTTATAGAGTCTCCCGTAAGCAGCATATGGTTTTGTTTTATCTGACTGACGATGTTTATCTAATGGAGTTTTCAGCGTGTTCCCGTCCAGCGCACTTACTGATTTCAGCTGAAACCGACTGTGTTAAATCTGCCTAATTCCTATGTGCTCCATCTGCTGTGTTCCTTTTTATCTCCTTTCTTGTCTTCTTTTGGGTCCAGCAACTTCGGTGCTGTTCTTCCTGGGCGCGGTCAGTCCCATGGTCCTGTTCCGTCCTTGGCTCCTGCCCAAGGCGGCAAGGTGCCCGGGGACTTGAAGCCTGCCCTGACCGAGGGCAGCAGCTCCGCCCCCAGGGGGGGTCTCTCCTCCAGTATCACCTCCTTCTCCAGGAAGGGCCGGTCCTTGCTGTCCGTCCTTTCCTGTCAGGGTGGGTGCTTGACGGCCTCACACAGCACACACGCAGTCTTTGCACACGCAGGCACCCTGAGGCCTCTTCTCTGGCGTCTCTTCCCGGTCGAGGAGCCAGGTCCTGTGGCCGGTGGTATGAAGGGCTCCTTCTGTCTCAGAAAACCTGGGCCTCTAAGTCTTCAGGTGCTCCCCTGCCGGCGCCCCTGCCCCAGCCCTGGGCTCAGGCTCCATGCAACCCTCTCCTCACTCCCCTCCCCGCCTCATCTGCTGAAACTCACGCAGACTCCTCGGGTCCGGCGGCTGCGGCCCTCGGTTCCAGAGCAGAACTGGGTTCTTTCCCGGGGACCTGGCTCCCTGCAGACACCCCCCACCTTCCCTCCACTGGAGCACTGTTGTGATTCAAGTGCCCGCCCTGGCTGGGTCTCCTGGGGGCCTGTGTCACCACGGGCTCTCCTACTTGCATTCTGGTCCGTTCCGGCCATTCTCTTCAGCCTACATCTCAGGTCGTCAGGGAACCCACCTTCCTCGGGGAGTGGCTTCTGCTTCTAGCGGTCCTCAGGGAAAACCCGGGCTCTCAGCCCGGCCCGTCTGTCTCTGACCCCGCCCTCGCTCTGAGGGTCCCCCGATAGGCCACCCTTCAGTTGTCACTGCCTGGGGCTGGGGGCCCCGGCCCTCTAGGCTCCCCAATATCCACACCGTTGTTTCCTTGGAGTTCCTTCAGCAGTGGAAGAATTCAGCAGAGTCGTCTCACCATCCGAGGAGCTAGGACCTCACCCCCCGGGCAATCTGGCCAGGTGAGGGCCCCCTCACAGCCCGTGGGCAGGGGGGGGCGACCCCCAACACTCTGGGTGCCAGGGCCCAGCTCTGCCCCTTAGCCCCACCGTCCTGGGAGCCCTGGGCCCTGAGGCTGTGGGGCCGCGGACACTTGGAAGGGGCTTCCTTCCTCCAGGAGGGCGCGGGTCACCGGGAGGGCGGTGCCGGGGACGCACCCCCAGCCCAGGGTGCCCGGAGCTCGCTCACCTGGTGGTCCGGCTGGGCCCACTTCTCCTTTGTCTCCCTTCGGTCCAGGAGGGCCCTGGTACTCTGGAGGAACAGAGACCCGGTGCCCGTCACTGAGCTGTGACACAGGCCACGCCCTCTGCCCCGCTGGCCCCTGGGCTTGGTGAAGGCTGTGCGCAGGAACCTGGACGGGGGAGGGGTGCTGCTCCTGGAATCCACGCCACTCCCGCGGGGCGGGCGCGAGCTGACAGCAGGCCCGGGTGGGGGGCTGCAGATCTAAATTCTGCACACGCGTGGGTGGCTGCTCAGCATCCAGGGCGGTCCACGGCTAGGCTGCCGGGACAGCCGTGCTGGGAGGACCTGGGTGGCCCGGCAAGGGGGCCCGTGGTCACTGGAGCAGGGGATGCGGGTCGATGAGGAGGTCCTGCCGCCCAGCGTCCCCGCGAGAGGCGCCCGCCCGGCCGCCCCAAGGCCCTGGGGGCCCTCACCTGGCAATCCCGGAGGTCCGGGGTGGCCAGCCTCCATGAATGCCTGCAGAGAAGCCAACCGGTGAGGGAGGGGCTCTGCAGACTGGGGGCCCCGCCCGCCCTGGGGTCTCTGAGCCTGGAGCCCCGTCCCCTCTGTGAGGCCATACAGACACCCCCCCCCCCAACACATACAGGAGCACAGGAAGGGGCAGGGGGAGGAGGTGGGTTTGGAAACAAGAGCCCTGATCATGATGTGACCTGCCCCTTATGCATCACTTCATGTGGCTGAACCTTGTGAAAACGGGGTGTCTGCCCCCCAGGACCAGAGGGCTCAATGCAGAGAGCCCTCGCTTCTGCGGGTGGGGTTTGTTCTCTGATGGCGTTCCAGCCAGGTCCCACTGGCCAGGCCCCTGCCAGAGATGGGGGTGTCCCCTCCCTGGGCGAGGCTGACCACTCCAGGGGGTGGGCGTGGAAGGGCCTGTGGGGAGGAGGCGGGGGTACTTACGTTGCTGTCGTAAACCGGAGTCCCCGGAGGGCCTGGGGGGCCTGGGGGCCCTGGGGGCCCGGGCGGACCCTGCGTGGGGAGGACAGAATGTGAGGTCACGTTCACAGCCAGGCCACGGACGTGACCGGGGGAGCAGACGTGAGGGGACTATTTCAGAAAGTCACTAAAATCGGAAAACTGGACGCGTGTGGCAGCATAAGATGAAGAAGCCTCCGGTTGGTCTGTGGCCGTGGCCCCGGGGCAGACCCGCCCTCATCCACGGTTTCTACGGTCAAGGCAGAGCCCCGGAGGCCAGGCCAGCAGGCTGAGCCTGTGTGACTCACACTGCATCAGGAGCAGACCTGGGCTGGCGAGGTTGTGCGGGTGAGGTTGTGCGGATCTCGGGACCCCGCCCCGCCGGCCCTGTGGGCGCCCCTGTGCCGTGCCCCGAGGCCAAGGACGGAGGGACCGGAGGTGGCATGGAGGTGGGGTCTCGGGCCCCCAGAAGAGCCACTGGAGGCAGAGCCCGGTCCCCACAGACTCCATGAGGCGCCCACGTGCCCAGACACGCCCAGACACACGCCCGGACACGCGCCGTCCGCCCGCAGATCAGAAGTGCACAATGAATCCCAGAGCCTCTCTCGCCTGTCCAGGCCTGTGACCTTTCTGTCACCACCTCAGATCTCCACAGGACACCCCCGCCTCTTGATTTTTCACAAGGCAGCAGCCACATTTAGGCCACGGGAGGAAAAAGCCACGGTGAAGAACAATGATGGCAAAGCCAGAAACAAGGGGGCCCTTGACACGCTGGCCTCGGGACGCCGCGCCCCCGCCCGGCTGCACTCAGGGGGCCCTGGAGCAGTCACTGAGTGCACCCGGTGGCCGGCTGGGTGCTGGGCCGCAGGTCCCCGTCTGGAGGCCCCCCTCTTAGGGAGAGACAGGTAAGGACACCCATGTGAGCAGCATAAAGCCCCGCTCAGAGGCCGGTGAGGACCGGGAGTCAGGCTGGGCGCCGAGTGAGGCCGCGCCGCCGGGGGCAGGGGCACGCGGGACCCACGAGGCTGTGCCCGTCCAGAAGAGCCACGCGGGGGCCTCTGTCCCGGCAGCTCCGGCTGGCGCGTGCGCACACGTGTGGGGTCCTCGTGCGAGAGGCCAGCACAGCGTGGTCACGATGTGGGGACCGTCCGCGCCCCCGGGCGTCCCAGCCCCGCCGCCCGCCCCTCGGGGGACACTCACCCTCACACCCAAGCTGACGCTGGCGGGTCCTGGCTCTCCTTTCTCCCCTTTCAGTCCGTTCATCCCGGGGCGGCCCTGGGGCAGGGCGCAGGGCGGTCACTGCTGGAGGGGCCCAGGCCGGCCTGGCCAGCTCTCCGTCCCTGCCCAGTGCGCGCCGGGGCGCCAGCCCCTCCCACCCCAGCCACCCACAAATCGGCCGGGCAGCCCTAGGCTTCGTGCTAGAGAAGCCGTCCCCGGGTGGAGGTGGCCCCTGGGGCCGGGCAGGGGAAGGAGCTGTGGTCTGTCCCGCCCCCCCCCCCCCCCCCCAGGCCCCCAGGGGCCAGGCCCAAGCTGCTGCCCACACGCGCCAGAGCCTGGTCCTTACCGGCCGCCCAGGGAAGCCAATCTCCCCTTTGTGCCCCGGCCGTCCATATGGACCCTGCAGAGAGGAAGAACACCTTTTAGGAGAGCAGAGGCCGGCGCCTGCTGTGGCTCCCACCTGACACCTGCCCTCGTGTTCTCGAGGTGTGCTGGGGCACATGCCAGGGCCACCCGCCCCCGCCCCGCGGCCAGGCCGTCACGGGCGCCTTGTGCTCTTGCACACGCGTGCCCGCCCTGGAGAGCTGTGCGCCTACTCACCGGCGGTCCTCGGAAGCCAGGCTCTCCCTGCACAGGAAACCGGAAGGCACTGTCAGACGGCCCGCTGGGCAGTGCCCGAGGGGCTCCGACAACGCGGTGGCGGGGAAGGAAAGGGCAGCAGGAAGCGGGCTCTAGATTGGGATTTCTGTCTCCAGGGCATACGGATGAGGACCCCCATGCCCCTCCCCCCGACCTCAGGGAGGGCCTGAGTTCTCTGGGCCCAGAGATCCAAGGTCCCACTGCCCACCCCAGACAACCCAGGGAGACTTCGGGGCCCCTGCAGGCCTGCCCCCCACAGCCACTGAATCCGGGTCCAGGCCTCCCCACACCCTCTCAGGGTCTTTCTGGGGGTGGGCGACTGGGAGGAGGGCCAGGACCCCTCCACAGTGGGGGGGCCCAGAGGCAGAGGGGCAGCCACATTCTCTGCGGGAGGCCATCTCCTGCAGGTGAGGCCTGGGCCGAGCCCCCCTTCTCCACAGCCCCCAGCCCCTCTGTAGGGCGGGCTCGGCTGATAGGGGACGACCAGGGGCCGGCTGGGTGGTGGCCGAGCTGGGCACTCAGGCTCTGACCCTCCCAGTGCGGCTGTGAGAGACAGACAGACAGGGCAGGGCAAGGGGCCCAGGCTGCAGAAGGTTCCGGAGCCCTCTCAGGAACACGGCCCCCTCTGTGCTCTCTCTGCAGCCCCTGGGACCCCCGGCTCCTGGCCTGGAGAGGCCCAGGCACCAGACTCACCTTGGCTCCTTTCTGGGCGGGGCCCAGCGTGTGGCCATCAGGGCTGAAGACGGGGCCCGGCTCGCCCTTCTCACCCTGGAACAGTGGGGGCGGCGGGCGTGAGGCCGGCTCTGGGGAACGGGGGCCCTCGACCCCCACAGTAAAACCCCAACTCGGCATGAACACCACCCCCACCCCAAGCAGGTACACGGTGGGCGGGGTCCCCCCCTCCCCAGGCTCTGCTGAGGGGTGGTCTTCGCGGAGCCTCCACGGGTCGCAGTGAGGTGACCTCGAGGACAACCTGCGTCAGAATCGGTCACGGCTCTCGTGTATCCCCCCCCCCCCACCAGGTCACAGAGCAGATGGTGCCTGAGCCTCTCACCTTGGGTCCCGGGGGGCCCCGCTGGCCTTTGGAGCCCACATCTCCCTTTGGCCCGGCCGGTCCCTATGGGGAGACAGGCAGGAATGAGGGCCACACGAGGGACCTGGTTCTGCTGGGGCGCACCTGCCTCCCGGTCCCGACCCACACCCCAAACCCCGCCCTGGTCCCCGGGGGCTTCTGCTCCGGAGCTGAAGGCTCCTCGGCTCTGCGGGCCCCTCCGGCTCGGGGCCGGGAGGGCCGAGCGGCGACTTACAGGAAAGCCCGCGTACCCCCGCCGGCCCTGCGGAAGAGAGGGGCCAGGTCAGCTCGGGGCGGGCGCGGAGAGGCCGGCTGCGGCTCTCGCCCCGGATGGCGCGCACGTACCTCGGGTCCCGGCACGCCTGCCACGGCTCCCTGTCCGCAGGTCGGCGGGAACACAACCCGAGGAGGAACAAGAGGAAAACACGTTTACAGTTAACGCCTCACAGGACCAACGAGAAGGCCCAGAAATTAACGCACAAGACAAACTGCCTTCAGTCGCCATCCTGGCCTTGGCCTCCGGTCCCTCAGGTCAGGCACCAGAGAACCTTCCAGAGGCCCTGGGGCCAGCGCGGACCTGCCGGCACCTGGGACTCCGACGGCGCAGCCCACCAGGCCCGGCTCTGTGGCCGAGGGAAGCAGGGTCTGGGAGGGAGGGGCCTTGCCCCGTTTAGGTTTTCTGCCGTAGAATTTGTTTTCCTCTGATCGCCCAACTGCACAATTTTCTTTTTGCTCAAATAATTTAAAAGTCTCACCAGAATGAGACACCGTCGCTGGTTCAGAGTAGAACCAACAGACGGGAAACCGTGGGGTCTTTAGGGGACACCCGGGGCGGCAGAGCCGGCGTCGGGCGGGCGGGGGGGGCGGGGGGGGCCGGGCACCGCGCCTGCCACCCACGCAGTGTCCTTACGTCCTGCTCCGACACATAGACGACAGGCCCGGGGGGTCCGGGGGGTCCGGGGAGGCCGGGCTGCCCCACGCCATCCCTCCCTGGGTCGCCCTGGAAGAGAAAGCCGGGGTCCGGCACTCAGACGGCTTGCGGGGGCCTCCGGATTGGCAGGGCGGCTCCGGAAGGGACCCCCAAGCCCACCAGGGCTCGGGAGGGGTTCCTGGCACCCACAGGGTGTGCAGAGGCGCCTGGGCTGGGGCGGCAGCAGTGACAGTCCCCCCTCCTGGCAGGACGAACTCCGAGCCACACCCCTCGGGGCCTGCGGACCCCGAGCCCCACTCACTTTCTCTCCCTGGGCCCCTTTTTCTCCTTTGGGTCCCTGCAAAGACAGAAAGGAAACAGTTCATGTTAAACAGAAGCTGAGCCCCCTTCCCGGAGACCCCACACCAGCAGCGGCTCTGAGTGATGTAGAGAGCTGCTCCTGGGGCAGGGGGGCGGCGAGCCAGACAGGAGTCATCCGCCTCGGGCCGCCTGGACACCCAGCCCACGTCGCTGAGCCCCACGGGGTACAGAGCACTGGTCAGGAGCCCGAGACCACACGGAGGCATCAGCTGCTCTGGGGTGGTCAGCCCCCTCCCCCACCCCCCAGCAGTCCTCGAGGTCGCGCACCTGGGCCCCGGCTGCGCCCTCTCTGCCAGGGAGGCCGGGGAACCCGGGAGGTCCATCCGCTCCGACTTCTCCCTGCACCGGACACAGGAGGCGAGTGTCAGCGCGCCGCCCAGCACACCCTGGCGTCCGGGGAGGTGAGCGGCAGGCCGGGGCCTCTGTGGCTCGCCAGCTCACGCCCCTGGCAGCGATTAGGCTCAGCCAGCCTCCAGCCTCCTTGGGAGCCTCAAGGGGCAGAGGGGGAGGGGACCGTGATTGGATGGACTCCTGTGGTTCCCCAGGTTTACACCTGGAGCCAGGAGGAAGGCTGTCCTGTGACCTGGGCGGGGGGCGGGTGTCCTCGGGACAGGCATGTCTCAGCCTCTCGGGGGTGAAGGCTGAGCCGGGACAGCACAAGGAAGCCCCAGAGGGAGAGTGAGCTGGGCCTGGCCTCGGAGGTCAATCCATGCAGACCCCCACCCCGTTACTGTGGCTCCAGGGGATGGGGGCCCCTCTCTGCTCCCGACTGGGACTGGGAAAGAGCGCTGATCCCCTGACCCCGAGAGAAGGCTTGATCTTACCTTGGCGCCCTGTGGTCCGCCTATGCCAGGGTCCCCCTAGTAGAGCAGGCGAGGGGGCTCCATGAGTGCCGAGGGTGATGGCTACCCCCACGGGGTGGCGTCCACGCTGCCCCTCCCCCTCCAGGAAGAAGGGAGGGAGGGAGGGAGGGAGGCGCCATCAGCCCCAAGCAGAGGGTCCCAGGGACACCGGGCTTGCTGTGCAGCAGCTGACACGGCCCAGACTGTTCTGGAAGCTGTGTCATCAATCTGCTCCAAAGGGCAGGCCCACCAGATGACCTCATTTTAAGAAAGTGAGTACGTGTGTCTTTCGAAAATGCAACCTTGTGCCACAACCCTAAGTTTTCCATCAAAGCAAAACACTCTAACAGGAACATTCATCAAAGGCCCTTGCTAAAACGTCCCCTGGTGGACCCTGGGCGCCCTTGACCCTGTGTGTCTGTGGGGAGCACGGCATGCCCTCCCGCCCTGGCCACCCACGGGGAGGGGTGGGGGCTGGTGTCCTCCAGGGTAGGGGAGCAGAGAGCAAAGCAGGGAGGTGGGGGGAGTCCCGGCCCCCCCCCCACTGCCCCAGAGCCTGGGAGGCACGGCCGGGGCAGGTTCCTCTGTACCCCAGGTTGGCGAGCACCCTTAAGATGCGTGAAGCCAGGGACCGAGCGGCCTTAGGACGGGAGGAATGCCCCCCCCAACACAGAGGCTCGGGACGGTGGCGTGTGGCAAGTGTCCCGCCTGGGCTCCTGCCGCTCCTGGGCCCCCAGGGGCCAACCCCTAGTGGGGAGGGGTGCGCTCACTGACCTTGACTCCCGGCGGGCCTGGCGGTCCCTATGGGGCAGAGAAGGAAGAGAGCCTGAGCCCCCCAGGGAGGGTCTTCCTCCTACAGGGGCCAGGTCCACCCCTGCCCCGGGCAGTGTCAGGAGCAAGGGGTGGGTGTCTGTCCTCGGCACCACCTACGCCCTCAGGAGCTCAGACCGGATGCGAGGGCAGGCCTGCCGATGCCCACAGAGCAGGCGGCTGCATCTCAGGTAACGGAAGCTACGTGTGTCCGAGCACATGGACGCTCGGCCCGCGCAGGGCCCTGGCTGGCTCAGCTTTGCCCGTCCCGTCACTTCCGAGGTCACAGAACAGCCCCGCTGATCCAGCGGTCAAGGGGCATTGGATCTGTGTACCTGGGTCCAGAACCCTAAAAGTGGGGACAGGACCCGGGCCCGAGACCTCGCTGCCACCTTGCACCGGGTCCTCTCTGATGCCAGCTGACTGATGCGGCCAAAGATGTAAAAGGAAACACGAAATTAAACTAGCAAAGCCACGCTAGCTGCTCAGGGAACGAGTTTCTGCCCAAGAAAAGATCCTCATTCACGCAGCCCGGACAGACCCTGTCCCGGCACGCGGGCGCTGGCAGCAGGATGTCCTGGGCATCCAGCCGCCAGGACAGAGGCAGCCCCCCCCCCCAGACGTGCCCCCACATCTGATCTAAGTCCCGGGCTCTCCGGGGGGCAGCTGCGGCGTTAACAGCAGAACAAGGTGGGATTTCACAGGAATGCGCCCGATTTCAGTTAGTTAAAATTCCACTTAGGTCCAAAGTTTATTACTTCCCAAATTAGAACCATAACGGGAACTCGAGCACTGCTATTTTCCAGAAAGATCCATCTTTTAGGGCTTATTCTGCCCACGTCCATTTACCAGACCACCAACAGCACTCTCCCACATGGTCCACTGCCTCCTGGAAGGCCTCCAGGGTGGACAGTGCTCAGGCATCAGCGGCCTTGCCGGTCTCTGCCGGGGGTGGTCCCAGGGGTGACCCCTGCCCCACACGCGCCCCTTTCCCGAAAGCGGATCAGGCCCAGCTAGCGCAGTACCTGTGGCCCACTGGCTCCGTGAGCAGTTGACCAGAAGGGTCCCCCAGAGCCTTCCATGTCATCCTGCGGACAGCACACAAGGGACACTTGGGTCTGCGTGTCTTACGGGAAGAGGCCCCTCCCGGAGGCCAGCCGCTGGCCTGAGGGGGAGACTCGGCCACGGCGGGGTGGGTTCCAAGGGCTGAGGTCCCCTGGAAGCGACCGTCCTTGGTCCTGGGGTGAGAAGCACCTGCCTGTCTGCAGGGACCCTGCTGGGTGGGCGCCCCGCTCAGCCCTCTCGAGTTTAGGCAATTTTATCTTTGGCCTGAGCACAAGCCACGGGCTTGGCTGTCGGATGGTGTCGCCTGGAGCAGCCTTTCCCCAGCACGTGCAGGACCAGGGCCCGGGCAGTGACCCCCGACTGCTCCCCCGCCGCCCCTGGTCCCACCTTGCGGCACCGTCCGGGCGCTGACGAGGACAGGCGTCAGGCTCGGACGTGGGGCCGGGGGGGTGGGTGCCCAGGGGGCACGGGGCTGCACACCAGACTTCCCGGGGGGGCAGGAGCAAGGGTACTCACAAACCCTGCGGCGAGTCCTGGTCCTGGGGGCCCGGGGGGCCCGGGAGGCCCGGGGGGGCCAGCTGGTCCGGGGGCTCCTGCCAGGCCGGTCTCCCCAGGAGCACCCGTGGGGCCAGGGTCCCCCTTGCTTCCCTGCACAGGTGGAGAGAGGAAGTCGCTACTTTGGGCCGCCAGGGTGTCCGCTAAAGCCCGAGGCAGCCACGTATCCCCTGCCCACCTCCTTTCCTTACGTGCGTTTCACAGATTCGAAAACCAGAGATAAACGGCACTGCACGAAGCAAACCCAGCAGCACCCGTTCTTCCTCGGCCTCGAGCAGATTTTATCCGCTTTAAAAACGACACGGCTGAGACCTACAGGCCCCGCACCGGAGACGCTCCTTCCAGGCCAGGCGCAAGGTGCACACAGAGCACGCTGCCCCGGCCGAGGCGGGGGTGGCCAGCTGTGGCGGGCGGGGGGGGGGGCCCGAAGCAGCGATGGGGGAGCAGGGGGCCCGAGGACTGAGGAGGCCGAGGGTCCTGGCTGCCAGGTGCTGGTGAGCAGGGCAGGGAGGTGGGGACCTGAGACAGGGAGAGCTGGGTGCAGGCCCCGCCCCACCCGCCTGACCTCATCCGCAGACGGAGGGACCACACTTTTCTCCTGCCCCTCGGACACGGGCTCCCCCCGCCCACAGCAAGGGCAGCAGAGCCACGCTGCCCTGTTACGCAAGTGGCAAGCCCACCGGAAGGCGCCGGCAGCGCTGACCACAGCCTCTCCCCAGGGGCCTCCCGGACCCCCGTCCTGGACCCAGCCAGTGGGCTGGGGCGCCCTCACGGCTTCCCACAGGCCTCAGACGCAGCCCCACGGGGCTCGGGCCCCAGGCCCCCGTGAGCCACCCCTGGGGCTGGCGCTAACCCCCTTACGGTCTATTCAACGAAGAGACAAAACTAGCAGTTTCGATGTATTGCCGCCCGCTTTACCCAAGGGCTCGTTTTAGTGGAAACTTCTGTTTTACTTTCTCGGTTTTAATCTTAGTGCCTTTTTATTATATTTAAGAAGCTCATCTAATGGCCAATCTTTGAAAAGCTGCTGTGTAAACGTTTGTGCCTTGAAATCTCCATCAGGGCTGATCATTTGTATTTATTCTTTCCCAGTTTCCTACTCAGTTTACAACCAGTCTAGGATGCGGACCCGAGGCCACTTCCTGAGGGTTTTAACGTCTGAGTCTCAATAGCCAGTTTCCCATTCAGGGCCTGGCCCAGCTTCCACGCTGAATTTTCCTGCTCTCATAGCCCCTCATTACAGGCCTCCCAGAGTCCCTCCCAGAGTCCCTCAGTGCCCTCACGCGCATGCGTGTGTGCGCACACGTGTGTGCCGGTGTATGCATGCGTGTGCATTTGTGCACGAGTATGCTCGTGCATGTCTGTATGCACGTGCATGCATGTGTGCTTGCGTACCCATGTGTGTGCGTATGTGCATATGTGCACACACATGTGAGTGCACTGTGTGCTCATGTATGTGCGCACATGAATGTGTGCGTGCATGCCTGCTCGTGTATACATGTGAGTGTGTGTCCATACGCATGTGTGCACGTATATGCATGTGTGTGCGTGTGCATGTGTGTGCATATGCATATGTGAGTGTGGGTGGGTGTGCATGGGCATGCGTGTGCATACGTGCGTGTATACACATGTGTGCGCGTGTGCATGTGTGCTCCTATGCACACACTTGCCTCTGAGCCCTACCTCATCCCTAGAATCCCCATGACCTGCGTCCCGATCCCATCCTCATCCTGGCCCTCGCTTCCCCCCTGGGGCTTGCCCACCGGAGCCCCAGCCTGGAGCTGCCCCCACCGTGCCCCGCCGGGAACGTCCCCCGGGGACCAGCCCCTTCACCTGCTGGGAAGTTTCCGGTGAGCACCCTCCCATCCAGTGCACCCACCCTCCCCGGACCCGCCTCCTTGTGGGAGAATGTCAGGAACCTGCTCTGGGTCCCATGGGGCCCCAGCAGCACCCCAGCCCCCAGCGGCCCACGCCCTCCCCATGAACCCCCGCCCCTCTGCCCACACACACACACTTTATCTGACAAGTTTTCCCTGGGAGCTTGTTTCCAAACACCAGATCCCATTCCTCAGCAACCAGAACCGGGTAGGAACCCTTGCTGGACAAAGGTGACGCCACCCCCCGCCCCGGGAAACTCCCACAGTGGACACTGGCTCCCCTGACCGCTGCCCATCTCCATCTGCCCAAGTGGGTCCGGGGCATCTTGTCTGTACCTTAGGTCCCGGGGCGCCCGCTTCGCCCTGCAGGAGAGAGAGAACAATCACCGTACCACCCCGCGTGCAGCCGAGCGGACTCTCGCCCGTTCTGTCCTGACCGGAGAGGCCGCCGCCATGCCAGTCACACTGATCACGGGGGTCCGGCTTTCCTCCGTCCTGTCCTGGCAGCTGGGGCCGTGCGCCGCTCCCGGAAGACGCAAGCCTGAAGCCCTGAGTGTCTCCTGGCCCTGGCTCGCCCTGCGTCAGGGGCTTCCGGGTGGCCAGGAGTGGCCGGCGCCCCCAGGAGAGCCCCTCTAGCTTGGCTGCTCCCCCCGCGAGAGGCCCCGAGTACCCAGGGTTCACGGAAAATAAGCCTCCCCCGCTCAGCCCCAAGCAGCGCAGCTCTCGGAAAGGTACCCACAGAGGACGGCCTTGAGACCCCCCCCCCCCACCCTGGTTCGTTCACTGAAGGCCTCACGGAAGTGGGACCCCAGCTGTAACCAGAGTTAAAGGTCGGGACGTGCCCCAAAGACACCGATCCAGCTGTCACCCTGAACAAACGCTAATCAGAGTCCCGACCCCGAACTTTCACACGGCTCTCAGCAAACTCCAGACGCCCTAGGCCCCAGGCTCTCAGACCCCGAAGACCTGGGTGGACGGCTGATGGCGGCCGTGCAGCAGATGGCAAGGACCCCCGCCTCCGTGTCACCACCTCTGTGGCACTCCTCGTGCGAAAGGTCGCCAGGCGCACCCCACCCCCACCCAGGGCCCATCGCCCTCCGGCCAGCCCGTGGCACCGACTCAGGCCCGCGCGGACTTCTGGGGAAGGGACTTACGGGGCTGCCTTTCTGGCCAGTGTTTCCCGGCCCCCCGTCTCTTCCTGGAGGACCCGGCGGTCCCTGGGGGAGAGAAAAGCAGAGTGTGGGGCCGGATGGAATTCAGTCGCTGGACAAGATACACAGGTGATTAGGGGTTAGTGATGATTATCGGCGTGACGGCCCGAGTCCGCGGCTCACGGGAGACCGGCCCACGGCAACACGGGCCACGGGGTGCACACGGCTGTGTTCACTTCCTGAATTCGTTTCCTTTTCTTTCTTTTTTTTTTTGAGTTGATCCAATAGGGGAGGATGAGAAGGGCCCCCAGACCATCAGTGAGGGGACTGCCTCACTCGCTAACGAGGGGCTGGTCACTCAGAGCCCACCATCCACGGGACGACGCCACAGGGCGCGGACTGTGCCTTCGGAGCGTGTTGTCCAGCGAGCACGTTGGGTGTCCCCGGTTCCTGTGGCCCAACTCTAATAGCGAGACGTGTGGGACCTTCCAGGCCACTGGGCCCCCCACTGTCGGGAGCAGGGAGCACCCCGAGAATGGTGAGTCACAGACACGGGCCCCTCACGGCCCCCAGGCCTGCAGGCAGGGGCCCACTCCTCAGATGGCCTCTGGGCGTCCCACTGACCCACCAGCGGCCGGGCCGATGGCCTCTCAGGCTCCTCCCTTCCCCGAGGCCCAGACCCGGGAGCCACCTCCCTGCGGTGATGAGGTTCACCCCAACCCCAGGCCAAGCCCGGATGGGGTCAAGGGCAGGAGGGGCAGGAGGCAGGCCTTACCTGGGCCCCAGGAAGCCCGGGGGCCCCGTCCCGCCCAGGCACGCCAGGGAGGCCCGCAGGGCCTGGGACGTCCGAGCTGTTCACCCCGAAGCGGCCTGGCTCTCCGGGCAGGCCTGGGACGCCAGGGGGCCCTGGGGGGCCGGGGAAGCCTCTCGGGCCCTGGACACAGAGGAACACAGGATGGCTGAGGCGCACGGCACCCGCCGAGGGACAGCCCTGACCCCCATCCCCCGCGGGGCACCCCCAACCCCCGCCACCACAGGGACCCCCGCACAAGGAGCCGTCAGGACCCCAGACACTCACTCGGAGGCTCTCCAGGTCACCGGCAAACCCGGACCCCTCCATGTCAATGAAGGTCTGGTGAAGGAGCCCACAGACGTGTCACTGGGGGCCTGGGCCCTTCCCCCCGGCACCCCCTCGCCTGAGGTCAGCGGGGCTCATCTCCAGCACAGCCCACGCCACCCACGCCACCCACCGCTGGGCTGCTTCCAGTGAGAAGCTGTGACCAGGCAGTGGGCATGAAAGGAAGCAGAGCCGGGCAGGAGGAGTGCCCTGCGCCCCCCCCAACACTCTGCACCCCCCGCCCTGCACCCCAACACCCTGCACCCCCCAACACTCTGCACCCCCCAACACCCTGTATCGCTCCAACAACCTGCTTCCCCAACACCCTGTATCCCCCCAACACCCTGCACCCCAACACCCTGCACCCAACACCCTGCACCCCAACACCCTGCACCCCCCAACACCCTGCACCCCCCAACACCCTGCACCCCCCGCCCTGCGGCCCCCACCACCCTGCAGTCTCCCCCCCTCCTGTGACCCAGCAGGCAGGGAGGACTCCTGGGCCTGGACACCCTCCCGGAAGGCGGGTCTGGGTCCAGGCAGGGGATGGAGGGTCCCTCCCGGGGCCGCAGGCGCCCCCCCTGCTGGTAGAGGTGGCACCAGGACTCACCAGCCTGTCGTGTCTGAAGGAGGGTCCTGGTGGCCCCGGAGGCCCTTGGGGTCCTGGGGGTCCTCTTGGCCCGGCCCCAGGGTCCCCCTGGGGATGTAAGACAGCAGTCACCTCAGGGTGTGCGGCCCTCCCTGTGGCCAGGGCTTGAGAGCGTAACGCACGCGAACTGAGACCCAGACAGCTCAGACTCACCTTCTCGCCCTTGGGGCCCACGTCTCCGGGGGTCCCGGGGAAGCCCTGCGGCCCAGGGTCACCCTGGAAGACAAGGACCATCCGCTGGGTCAGGGAGGAGGCCGCTCCGTGCTGCCACCACCCACGGCGCTGAGACAGGCGGGCCGGATGGAGGGCATCGTGCAGGACCCGAGGCAGACGCTGCCCACGCGGGGCCTGACCCGGGGGTCGCCACGCGGGGCTGGGCGCAGTATATAAATGTGACCCGTGGCTTCCCCGTGGACATCTTCACCAGACACTGGCGCTCTGCCCCATACATGCGTGTGTGCGCCCTGCACGTGTGTGTGCCTGCCCTGTGCGTGTGTGTGCCCTATACATATATGTGTGTGTGCCTGCCCCGCACATGTGTGTGTCAGCCCCACGCATGTCTGCCCTATGCATACATATGTGTGCGCCTGCCCCACACATGTGTGTGCCTGTCCATACATGCACGCGTGCGCCTGCCCCGCACATGCGTGTGCCTGCGTAGGGGACTGCGGACAGCGTGCCTGCACACTTGCCCCTGGTGGAAGCAGGAGGCTTCCGTGTGCGGGAGTGTGCACGCACGCTGTGGGGCTCATCAGCGTAGACACTGAGGTGTGTTTGCCCAGAGCAAGCTGTCCCTGGCATCCTTTGGGTCCCGGACGCCCCAGGCTCTGCCAGGCCGACACCAGCTGATTTTCCGCAGGCGCCACTGGTACTCCCGCGAGTGACTCCCCCACCAGGTTAATTAGGGACTGTCTGGGGTCAGGAAATATCCCTTTCTGTCCACTCGAATCTTTTCAACGTGAATGTGGGCCATCTGGGGTTAGTCAGTGGCCTGCCCCCCTGACCGCTTGTCAGGGTGTTATTTCTGGATCTTCTATTTTTTTCCCTTAATGTTTTTATTTAATTTTTTGAAAGAGAGACAGAGCATGAGCAGGGGAGGGGCAGAGAGAGGGGGACACAGAATCTGAAGCAGCTCCAGGCTCCCAGCCGTCAGCACAGGGCCCGACGCGGGGCTCGAACTCACAAACTGAGATCATGACCTGAGCTGAAGTCCGATGCTTAACCGACTGAGCCCCCAGGCGCCCCTATTTCCGGAATGTTAACTAGCAACCTTCTCGTGCTGTGTTATGCTTCTCAGAAATGGCATTTGCGAATTTTTAAAAATTCAAACAGAGTTTTAAAGATAGAAGCTCTCATCTGTTGTGACTGCTGGTCGGTCTGCACGGACTCCCTGCCCCAGCTATGGGCTGCACCCCCTCCCCGCTACGGTATGCACGGACCCCGCACACTCTCCCCCCGTCCGCCATGGGCTGCACCCCCTCCCCAACCCACAAATACACTTCCTATTTCTTTGCTATGTGTTTTTCTAAGTATTTGGAAGCTATATCTTTTTTATTTCTTCCTTTTCCTTTTCCTCCTAGTAGTTAGCCTAAGCTTCTCAATACGTACGCATAACTTAGTATTTTTCTATCAACAGTTAGACTTCTATTTTCTCAACAAAAGCAAAGTTGAGTTCGAGGCTAAATGCGTTTGCACCGTGTTGAGTTTACAGAGTGTCACAGGGTGACGAAGCCTGAGGGTCTCACACAAATACCACAGACGCACCGGCTGCGAAAGAGAAGTGAACTTACAGGATCCCGTCTTCCCCGGGACCACCCTGGAGTGTGCGGGAGGGCCGCTAGCGACAGAGTCACACAAATGCCCACACGGAGACCTGTCCCCACCCCGATCCAAACGCAGAAATGGAGCCGCACCCCAGGTCCCATGGAGAACGGCTGTGTGTCAGTGTGGACAGCCTCCCTCCCAGTGCCGGCTGGCCCTGCGGGGCCTCGCTGACCATCCTCTGCATTGCTGACCGCCCCCAATCCCTGATGGCCCCCCACCTCGCTGACTGCCCCCCGCCTTGCTGACCACCTGCTTGACCGCCCCCCACCTCGGTGACCACCCCCAATCCCTGATGGCCCCCCACCTCGCTGACCGCCCCCCCGCCCGCCTAACCACCCCCCACCTCACTGACCATCCTCTGACCACCCCCCACCTTGCAGACCACCCCCCACCTTGCTGACCACCCTCCGTCTCCCCAGGGCAGGAAGCTGCCTCGAGTCTGGGCCACCCTGAGGTCTCCACTGGGGACCTGCTTCTCGGCCACCTCAGTCCCACCTCCCCCTCCCGCCCAAACCCCTCCCCCGGCCCAACCTGGGGAAGATGGACTCACCGGCTCACCGTCCTTTCCGGGGACACCATCCTTCCCCGGTGGCCCTGGGGGTCCTGGGGGGCCCTGTGGGCCGGGTACAGGCTGTGCATCGGGGTTCTGCACTGCAGGGCCCGCAGGAGCCTGGGGACAAAGAGGAGAGGGCACAGGCTGGGGGCCCGTGGCTGCGCCCTCCTGGGTCTCAGGCTGAGCTGCGCATCACGCGGGACATGCAGTGGACGTGACATGTATGGGGCACATGGTGGGCACTGCTGCCAGCGGGGCCCCGCCTGGTCATCCCTGCCACGTGGTCCCAGCACCACAGGCAAAGGAGGGGGACTCCTGGCACCCCGCGGGCACAGGAGGGGGGCATCCTGCGGGCACAGGAGGGGGGCTCCTGGCATCCCATGGGCATGGGGGGGCTCCCGGCACCCCGCGGGCTCAGGAGGGGGGCTCCCGACACCCCGCAGGCACAGGAGGGGGCTCCCGGCATCCCGCGGGCACAAGAGGGCCACAGAGGAAGGGGTACAGCAGCAGGAGCTGCACCCAGGTCCCCTGGGGTCAAGGGAGGGGCCTCACCTCTTCCAGGCTGCCCCCAGGGCTCTGAACGTTCCAAGCGGTGACAGAGTCTGAGCCAGGGAGGGTCCAAGCTGGGGGAGGCAGAGGAAGCCGTCATCCCCGGGAGCCCGGCCCCTGCTCTGGCTGGGCTCACCGCCCTCCCCCCACCCGCCCCCCCGGCCCCAGGCTGCCTGCAGCTCCAGGGCGCAGTCCCCAAACCTCATGCACACGCACGCAGACACACACACACTCACACACGTGTACACACACTCATGTGCACACACTCACATGCACACACATTTCTTCTCTTGCTGAACCACAGCAGTTTGTTGCATTTACCACAACTCTTCCCCAGAATGAGGACGTTTCCTGACAACCAGATGGTCACATTCAGGATCGTTCGCGTGGTTACACGCGGTGACTGAACACACGGCCCACGTTCAAGCGCCTGCACTGGCCCCACGATGTCCTCGGTAGCCTCCTTCTGGGGATGGCTGACAGTGGAGGTTCCAGACCCCGGGAGGCGCGGGCCACATCCGGCCTGTCAGGCCTGCAGGGCCCAGGGCTTCGGGACAGCCACCGCGCAGACGAGAAGCCACGGGGCGCGAGTGCATGCAGCACGGGCTGTCGGCTCGCCCTGGTCAGCCCAGGCCGGTCAGGGTGGGCACCTTCCCCTTTGTGGGGTGAACTCGGGCAGTTCCCCCAAATCCCTCCTCCAGCGGTCAGCCCGCTCAGGCAGCTCGGTGACAGGGAGCTCACGTGCTCTGAGGCCCTCATTTTCTGAGGGGGTTTGGGGGGAATTGCCGCCCCCTCCCGGGGTGGCCCAGGCGCCCTGACGGTGCGGCGGGCTGGGCGCAGGGACTGCACGGCTGGGCGCTGAGGCCCTTTAGCTGAACACGGATGGGCGCGCAGACTGGGCCCACACCAGCCTCCCCACCAGAGTCAGAAGAAATCGGAGCCGCATCCACGCCCTTGACCACAGCCCGGCCAGCGCCCGCCAGAGCCTCCTGGATGACCCTGGGACCGCAGCCAGACCCCGCCCACTACGGAGGGTCCCAGGTCAGCCCCGGCCCCGCGGCCGTCAGCAGGGGGCGCGCGCCTCGCAGGCCGGTATCCCACATACCAGCATGACTTAAGGCAGATTGAAAACCTCTGCCTCAGCCAACACTGAAACTGCAAAAACCCCGATAGGAGAAAGCAAAGGAGGGAGACCGTGTTTGAAGCGGGTTCAGCATCTGCGGGCCCCGCAGGACCGGCCTACAGAGGCACTCCGCCCGCGCCCGCGCAGAAACCGCACGCCGGGTGCGCCGCGCTGAGGAAGAGCAGGTGCGGAGGGCTGGTGCGGTGTCACCCCCACGCTTCTTACGGGGCCACAGTGAGCGGACGGCTGTGAGGACAGACCCACGGAACAGAGCCGAGTCCGGAAACAGTCTCCTCACACGGACGGCTGATTTCCAACCCAGGCACACGGGCAACTCAGCAGGAGAAAAAGACCGTCTTTTCGATAAATGGTGCTGGACGGGCAGCTGCGCTTCCTGCCACACGGAAACCTGACTCAAAGTGGGGCACGGAACAAAATGCAAAACCCCAAGCCGGAATGCTACCGGAACACGCCAGGAAGCCCCTGGGACCCTGGGCGGCACAGACTTCTCAGCTATGACCCCACAACTGAGATCCACACGTGAACGAACTCATACACTGAGTTTCAGCAAAATTAAAAACCAATCTGTTCTGCTCCCGCACAGGCGCGGTCAAGAAAACGGAGAGATAAGCTACAGACTGAAAAAGTACTTGCAGACAGACACCTGATACGGAGTCCCATCCCCAACACGGAGAGCTCTCAGAACTGGGCGCCCAGAAAGCAGTCAGCCGCTAAGATCTCAACAGATTCTGCACGGACGACAGCGCTCGGAGGCCGAACGGGTGCACGGAAAGACGCCGTGCCACCAGTCATCAGGGAGAGGCAATCACGCGGCCTTGAGCCGCCCGTGTACCCTCAGGGATGCCAGCGATGGCACATGCGCACGCCTGGGGGGCCCAGAACCGCGGGGAATGTGGTCCACCACTACTTCCACGGCGGACACACGCCTGTCCTGTGGCCCCGCCGTTCCACCCCAAGGCGTCGAGCGGGGAGACACGGCAGCAGGTGCCGCTGCAGAGGCTTACCCTGGAGCCCACGGCACCTTTAGCTGGGACAGCCCCACACTGGGAAGGACACAAAGGTGCACTGTCAGGTGAGTGTCCTTCCACACGGTGAAATAGCCCTGAACCAACAGTGCAGAATTACACCTTGCTGAGTGTCAGCACGATGGTGCGGAGCGAATGAATCAGGACAGGAAGGCAGAGTGTGCACTTCCATGTATGGAACATTCTAGAAAACACCAGCATCTACAGTGACAGCAGACAGCTCAAAACTGATCACCTTGCATGTTTTAAATACGTGCCCTTTATTGTATGCCGATTACACTAAACACAAAAACAAAAAGTGACCCCAGGCCCATCAGGGCTGCTCCCAAAGGGTCCCGGGATGGCCCTGGACGGGGAGCCCAGGCCACAGCGCACAGTGGGGAGGCGGCTGGGCTGAGCGTGTGACGCTGGTGGGGCCCGAGTCCATCACTCAGGACTCTGAGGGGCCAGACTCTTCACCAGCCTTCCAGCGTGGCTGGGCCCTTGGGAAGCACGTTCGTGACAAACGCCAAAACTAGGTCCTTGGAGGAAGGGCACACAGAACGTGAATAGCGGGGCCCTGGGGCACCAACATCAAGTCCCTCCTTATGTTGTCTGTTTCTCAGATTCTTTCTTTTTTTTTTTTTTTTTAAATGTTTTATTTATTTCTAGGAGAGAGAGAGAGAGAGACAGCGTGAGCAGGGGAGGGTCAGAGAGAGAGGGAGTCCCAGATTCTGAAACAGGCTCCAGGCTCCGAGCTGGCAGTCAGCACAGAGCCCGACGCGGGGCTCGAACCCACGAACTGCGAGATCATGACCTAGGGAAAGTCGGACGCTTAACCGACTAAGCCACCCAGGCGCACCTGTTTCTCAGTTTCTAAGGCGGTGACGAGCATGTGTTATTTCAGTAATTTTTAAAAAGCAATAAACGCCTTTCTCTAAAATAAAAACAAACGTCTACATACTTTTCTACTCTGCACATAAGTACGGAAGGCGGAGCCCCTGAGCTTGCTGGCCCTGGTCACTGGACACCAGTCTGGGCGCTGCTGGGAAGGCTCCCCAGAGGCGGAGGCTACAGGTTACCCAATAGCTGACTTGCAGGTGGGGAGACGATCTCATATTATTGGGGTACAACCCATTCACCGCACGAGGCCCCACAACAGAAGAGGCGGGAGGGGAGGTTCAGACATTCAGAGCGCGAGAAGGACCCCACCCGCCGGGGCTGGCTCCGAAGACGCTGGAGTGGCCGGGAACGGGGGGCGCGGGTGGCCCAAGAAGGGGAGACGGTCGCTGGCCGCCGCGGTTAGGACCCGGGGCCTCAGCCCGCAGAGGTGGATTCTGCCCACAGCCTGAGTGAGCAGGAAGCCCATCCCTGGGGGGCCTGTGGGAGAGGCCACGGCCCCGGGACGCGAGGTGAGTGATGACACAGCCCTCGGAACATGAGGAGAGAGAGGTCATGGCCCCGGGACACGAATCGAGACACGAGCGCCCTCCCAGTGGCCAAATGCATGGCAATCTGTTGGCAGTGACAGACAGCTGACACGCTGACACTCCATTTTCAGTAGCCCAGCCACGGCAGGTCCACGGCAGCACCCCCGGGCAGCAGACCCCCAAAGCCACCGGGAAGAGTCCCCAACCGCAAATGCTGACCCACGGCATTCCACGATTCGTTGGACAATTTGTACAACGATTCGTTATCCTTCAGAATTAAATCTCACATCCTCTGAGCGAGCCTGCGCACAGGACGGCCCACCGGCCCGCCAGCACCGGGGACGGGACAAGGAAGGAAGGCCACGCGGCGACTCTGCCCTGACTCCTGCAGCCACGCGCCAACCACCCCCCAGTCTGGGCATGTGTGTGACACCCTGGAGCCCCTCGCCAGCCATGCACACGACTGACACACGCATGCCACTGACACACATATCGCTCACACGTGCACATTGCTCACACAACTCTTGCACACACCCAACTCGCATGCACACACCACTCACGCACACACACACCCCACCAGTAAACAGTTTTACCTCCCAGTGAAGACATTGTGGCTTCTTCCTCAATTTCTTCAGTTCTGGAATCTTCCACGTTCCTGCCTCCAGCCAAGGGCGGAGAAGTGACCGGTGGAGCCTCGGGGAGGCTGGGCTTTGGGGACGGACCCTGGCAAGGTGAGAGGGGGAGACAAGGCCCTTGTTCGGCAGACGCAGATGTTCCGTGGCTCGTGTATGGGCCGGCCTGCCAGGTCATGACCCTCGCGGTCTGCGGTCTGCACCGGTTCTTGAAGATGGGAGTCTCCACAGCTGCTTCCCCCTCAGCAGCCACGGGGAGGGGTCCCGGCCCGTGAGCCCCAGGGCACCCCAGCCTGCAGGTGCCCCGTGCACAGGGGACAGGCCAGCGCCCACTCTGCTTATGCGGGGCCCCAGGCAGCCCCGGGGTGACCCTTGAGAGCCCTGGCCTTTCCTTGGGGTCAGGACCTGACCCCGAGGGCATTTCACAGCACAGATGGCTTGTGGCCTCCACCTATTCTCAGTGGGGGTCATGACCAGTGGACCGCATGGCCAGGGAGGGTGATTTGCACCCACTCTTGAGGAGACAAGTCCGGTTCTGCTCTGAAAGCACGTCTTCCTGATCCCCAGGGCCACCCTGGAGCCTCAGGGACACGGGCACAAGGTGACATTCAAGTACACAGTCCAGACACTTCCTGCACCCGCCCACCCCACGTCGGCCAGGAGCTTCCTGGTGAACCGTGCAGCTCAAAGCACCCAGTGACTGGCATGTCTTTGAGGCCTGAGGGCTGGGGGGCCCGGGGCCGGACACCAGGCCTCTCTGCGGCCCCAAACCCACAGATGACAGAAGGGCCCTGGGGACCCCCAAGCCCCGGCTGGCCCCCCACATTCCTGAGCCACTGAGCGTGACAGGGTGGAGGCCACAGAGAGAAGGCAGGGGCCCCTGCAAGCCGCTCGTGCCCCTGCCCGGCCACCCTGCACGGGCAGTGGCCCAGTTCCTCTGCTGTCGCCCTAAGTGACCGGCCCAATTTCCTCACGGGAGCCTGGCCGGGCGTGGGTTCCTGGGTCAAGTACTGTGGGCCACGGGGCGGACCTGCCCTGGGCCGGCCACTCATCTAGCCCACTAAGAGGGGCCGCAGAGCTGTGGCATTTCACCGTGGCCCCGGCACAGCTCGGATACGTTTCCAGGGGGTCTCTGCACTCCCATGCAGCGGTTTGCCCCAAGGCACCCTGGTACACACGGGAGCTCGGTGGGTGAGGGGCGAGCGCCCAGAGCCAGCCTGCATCTGGTCAGGGGCGTCGGGAGCCCCGTCAGGCTCCGCGCACTGATGCCTGCTGCGAGCGGGGGCCTGCTGGGCCGCCTCCCGGGACTGCTCCGGCCGGTACGGGCCATGGGGGTCCCCAGCACCCCTTGAGCGGGTGGAGCTCAGCACTCTGCCTGTCCCGGCCCTCGGGGCCGAGCCCTGGGACGGGGCAACGGGAGGGCTCGCATTCGGCCTCCGGAAACCTCCTCGCTGTGATGCCGCCCACTTTCCTCTGCGGCCCCGCCGACGCGACGCGTGCACAGAGCTCGCTGTCGCCCCCGAGATCCGACGGGGGCTTAGACTCAGAATTCTAAATCCCCTGTGACAGAAGTAAGGGGGCGCACTCCCGAGTCCCGCTGGGAGCGTGTCCTAGGGTCGCCGACGGGGCCCCGGGCGGGGGGCGCACAACTCACCGGCTGCTCCGGGCCCTCCTGCCCGCTGCCGAAGTCTCCGGACACCTGGGTTTGCAGGAAGAAGGAGGGAGCCAGTGACCAACCCGCACGTGCTTTCTGAGGTTGGGGGTGAGCGAAAATGTCGTCCCAGGATCTTGGAACCCAAATGACACCCTTCAAAGGAGACCTTTCCAGACCACTTGGGAGTCCCGACCCCGCCGGCCCTGGGCCCTCCGCCCGGGGGGCCTCCGTGGGGGTGCGGCCGCGGTCACTCACCCCACCGCTGTCGTCGTCGTCCTCTTCCAGACAGTGCAGGGGGCTCACCCGGGGGTCCCCGCGCACCCTCAGCTCCGCAATCGTCCCCTAAAGGCAGAGGGAGAGCGCGGTCGCCGCAGGCCCGAGGCAGGCGGCACGGCCACGCCGGCACCCGCTCGGGGCAGATCTCCGCGGGGTCACGGGGCAGACGGACCAGGTGCAGGACGAGGCGGCCCTCAGGTCCCCGCCGCGGCTCCAAAGGCGCCTGCGCGAGGGGACGGGGCCTCAGGGAGGCGGGGAGGGGACAGCCGCGTCCGGCCCTGGCTTCGGGGACCGCCAGAGCCCGCGAGTGAAGAGCAGCAGGCGAAGCCGAATGAGCCCGGGGCGCGGACTCCCAGGCGGAGTCTGTGTGGCGCCCCCCGCGCCGCCGCCGCTTGGCCCCGAACCGAATCGGCTGAGCCCTTGCACTCAAGCACCAGAGGCCACCGGGGCCGCTTTCTAAAGGTGTCCCTGCCTGGAAATGGTGGGTGTCCACGCCTGTGGTTTCCATCTGCTTTGTTTTTCTCTTAACGTTTGATCCACTGGGATTTACTCCCGCGCGTTTTCCCCAAGCAGAAAGCACACTTGGAAGTTCTGAGCTCTAAGAGAAGGGCCGGGGTCAGGGGTCAGGGGTCAGGGGTCAGCAGAGGTTCTCTGTAAAGAGCCAGCTGCCGAGGCCTCGGTCTCCGTGCCGCCTGGTGCGCGTCCACTCGGCACCAGCCACAGCCAGTGCGCCGAGGGCTGAGCGCGGCTGTTCCCAGCATCACTGACACTGAGATGTCACTCGGGTCATTTCCACGTCGCGAGAGTCCCCTTCTGATTCGCCCGTTTCAACGTGTGAAAGCCTTTCTCGCCTGCGGGCTGCCCAGAACAGGGGAGGCTGGATGTGTCCGCGGGCCGTGTGCTGACTCCCCTCCACTATTCTGTATATTCCTCCAAATGACCTTGAGATTCCCTTCATCCCCTGACCCTCGATGCCATGACCTTCCTGCTCCACACCAGCACAGGGCACGTGACAGCAAACCAACAACACCCCTGCATGTCCCCAGGTGAGCCCTGCTTGAGGGCCCCACTCACTTCCCACAGCTGCCGCCTCCAGGAAGCACTCCTGGATCTCTGAACTTGAGGCCAGTCCTGCCCGACGGACTCTGTACTCTCGGCTCCATGCCCCAACTGCTGATGGTGAGGCCATCTCCCTGTGTGGCTGTGTGCGTGTGCCCACGTGTGTGCAGCTATGTGCTGTGTGGGTACATGCTTATATGCATGTGCACACACGTGCGTGCACTTGCACACATGTGCTCGTTCAGACACACGCACCTGCTTCTGGAGGGTGGTCGGGCCTGGGCGGGACTCAGGTGGAGGGAGACCCCTGGCTCCACAATCACCACAAGGTGCTCATTTTCCCAACTTGCAGGGGGAGGCGGCGGCTGAGGAGGCAGGACCGCAGGGGAGCCGTCGGAGCGCAGGTGCGTGATCGGCGCTCTGCACACACACGCGCTGTCCTTCTCTGCACGAAGGGGCTGACACCATGGGCAGCCACTATGACTCAGGGCCACCAAAGTGGCTACTGGCTCACAGGCTGACGTGGGGTGCACGGAGCTGCACAGGGTCCAGAAGCTGGGCTGACTCAGGTGTTGGAAACATGGCCACAGGCAGGACCATGTACCTCATCTTCACTGTTCTCCCACCAGCCACAGCATGTTCCGGAAGACCAGAGGCAGGAGCTGCCCGTGGCTCTGTGGTCAAAGCCCAGAAGGAAGCTGTCCTGGTTCTCAGCTGGATTCAGGATGGTCATTGGTTCCAGAAGTTTCTTCTGGGCACCTGGGTGAGGACCAGCACCCGACGGGTGAGGTCCAGGCCCTGTGGCGCCCCAAGGGAGGCCGACAGACGGCGGCCAGACTGTGGGGCTGAGGGACCGGGGGCGGGGTCGCCGTCCACGGGCCTGTCCCCAGGCTGCTGGGTGGCCTCACTGCGGGAGGGCGCCAGTGGTATCCTTCTGGAAGGTGGAGATGAGATCTCCATCTCTTTAAGGAAGAGAGTGTCCAGGCACAGAGAGCACGGTCTCCAGTGGCCAGAGGTTAGCCCCCAATGTCTCACCCACACCAGCAGGGGCCTGTGTCTAACCCCAAGCCCAGCAGCCCTCCCACCGCTGCAGCTGCTGCTGCCATCAGACCCAGAGTCACCCTCGTGGGTCCCTGCCGCCATCTCTCCAGGCACAATGCCGCCTGCTGCTTCGTGGCCGCAGAGCGCAAGGTCAGACTGGGGCCTGGCTCTCCTCACGGTGGTCACCAGGGAACTCACTGCAGAGCCGTCAGGGGACTCGGGGACGGCCTGACCGACCGCGCGGGACTACTGCTGAGAACCCCTCCAGGGCCCTGACCCGTGAGCCGTGGCGCGTGGAGGAGGGGCAGTTCGGCGACTGGCTGCAGACAGGCCCCCGCAGCTGAGGGGCCCGGGACGAGAGGCGGTCCATGCCAGTGGTGCAGGGAGTCGCTGTGGGCAGCGGTTGGCATATTTGAGGGACAAATGTTCTTCCCTGCAAATTCCTGGACGGTCCAACCACCACGGAGAGTGACCAAGCTGTGTGGGAGGTGTATGAGTGCGTGTGTGCATGTGAATGTGCACCCGTGTGCATGCAGTGACAGCACATGTGAGCGTGAGAGCTCTGTGTGGATGGGTTACGTGTGAGCACGTGTGTGAGTGTGCACGTGTGCGTGAGCATGTGTGTGAGCTCTGTGTGGATGGGTTACGTGTGAGCACGTGTATGTGAGCACGTGTGTGAGTGTGCACATGTGTATGTGAGCACACGTGTGAGTTCTGTGTGGATGGATTACGTGTGAACACATATGTGTAAGTGTGCACATGTGTGTGAGCACGTGCATGAGCTCTGTGGATGCGTTACATGTGAGCACGTGTGTGAGTGTGCACATGTGTGTGAGCACGTGTGTGAGCTCTGTGTGGGTGGGTTATGTGTGAGCACGTGTGTATGTATGTGTACACATGTGCATGTGAGCACGTGTGCACACAATGACAGCACTGTGAGCATGTGCCCATGTGAGGTGTGTACATGAGTGTGTGAGAGCACGTATGTGCACGTGAGCATGTGTGCATGCAGTGAGGTGTACACAATGTGTGAGAGCACGTGTGTGCATGTGAGAGCTGCATGCACACGAGCACACATGTGCAGACCAGGAGCGGGGAACGCTGCACACACCTCACACACGCCCAGGTGCCCTGCACCAACCAGGCTCCTGGGGGCACCAGCTCCCCGGGAAATACGGGCCACCCTGTAAAGACGCAGGGGGCAGGTCGGGGGGCAGCACTGGCTTCGGGCTGGAGATGCAAGTCCTCAGCCCTCCAGTCCCGCTGATGGAGGGCCAGGGTGGCCCAGGTGACCGTTTGGAGACGCGAGGGCAGCACAGGGCAGGTGTTAAATTCTAGAAGGTCGAGCTCTCCACGGGGCAGCAGGGGTGCCGTGAGGGGAGGGCGTGGGCGCTCCCGGCAGGTGGGGTGGGGGGCAGACGTCCCACCGTGACGGTCCCCACAGACCCCTCCTGGGGGCTCGGAGCTCCCGGCACCAGCGCCTGGCCCGAGGCCGCTCCCCAGGCTGCAGGCAGGGGTGTGGGAGGGAGGGCGGGGCTGGCTGCGGCTCCCGGAGCCACGTGCACTTCCCCGGGGACGCGCTTAGTGGGGAAGACGGCGGTGGTGCAAAAGCCACAGGAGCCACTGCAAACACGGGCCGGACCCGGAGGCGGACGCTGTGAAATCTGGGGACATCCTGCTTTGTTAACAAAGACCGTCTAGGGCGCGTCCTGTCGTGCCGGGCTGCCCCCCGTGTGGCGGACTCGTGTGATGAGAACCCTGTGCTGTGCAAGCGAGTCACGGAGGTCACTGGCCTCAGGCCAGCGGATTCTGGGAGGTGACCTTGACCCGGCCTCAGGGCCCTGCCGGGAAGCGCCGTGTCCTGGTGGTGGGTGGAGCTGAGTGACCCTGCTTGGGGGGGTAGGGGTGGCGTGTGGCGCTCGGGCCAGACTCCCCCGCCTTCCTCACCCACCACAGCTGCGCCCCTGCTCCGTGGCCCCTCACCACCTGCTCGCGCCCAGTCCCGGCCGAGGGGCACGGGAGCCCCTGCTGCCTCACGGTTCCTTCTCGTGGGGGCGCGTCCGGGCAAGCGCGTCCGCCACAGGCAGCTCCTCTCTCCCCCTTGATCGCGGCAGGAAATGGCAGGGATGTGGCGGCATCACGTCGAGGCCGTCTTACTGCGCTCGTCGTCAGCTGGGGCGGGGGCATAGCGGGGGCCGCGGCGCCCGGCTCTCCCTCGGTCAGGGGGGCGGATCTGAGTGCTGGGCTGGGGGCCTTGGCCCCTGACGACACTTTCTGGCCCGCTCCGCGCCCTCTGGGCATCGAGCCTGCCACGGCTGGGGGAGCCCCCTGGCTCCAGTGGGCCGGGTGCTTACTTCTATGGAACGGGGCCCACAATGCCACATGCGGAGGAAAGTCCCGTGAACAAGGGAGATGAATGTTCGGCGTGAAGTGCCATCGCTGGAGCACAGCCCCAGAGCCGCGTCTGCTCCGGGGGTGGGGGGGTGGCCCAGGGAGGAGCTGCACAGAGACGCAGGCGTGCGGCCAGCAGCGAATGGGGAGAGAGTCTAGGGAAATGCGGCCGCAGAGCTCTGGAAATGGTTAAAAAAAGTAAAAGGGCACAAAACCACCGAGAAAGAGTTGGAAATGGCGCTTTAGGGGAAGCGCTGTGAACAGAACTGCGAGGCACACAGGGCCCCCCGGTAAATACTTATCACCACATTTGACTCAAGAAAAAGAATAAACCCGAAAAGACCAGTTTTTCTGACCAGAGGCAAACAATCAAGGTTCTGTCCAGACCCGCCTGGACCGGCGCCGGTGAGGGCGGGGCGCCCCGCTTCGGAGAGGCCGGAGGGGACGCCCAGCTTCCTCCTGGCTCCCTGAGTCCCGAGCTCGCTTCTGCCAAATCTTATAAATCACGTGACGTGAGTGATCCTTCCCCAGGAACTTCAATTCAGAAAGTCTGCAAAGCCCTGTGCTAAACCGATTTGTCTTCTGTTCTACAAGTTTCTCTCGGCCAGCTGGAATCCGATCAAACACCCACACAGAACATTCCTGAAGCCTCGAGTCCGTGGGGACAGAAGGAGCCAGACTGCTCTTGGCTCAGGTGCATGTGACACAAGTGAAGTCAGCTGCCGCCGGGGAGAGCAGGCCACAGCCCAGGGCTGCGGAGGGCGCCGCCTTGCTCCGCCCGGCCTTCCTAGCCTGCAGAGCCTCGGCCGTGACGTTACGTGCCATGTGCGTATTTTCTCACCATGGGTATTTTCCACATAAACACTTTAAACATCTCAATGGTTTGAACAAAAAAATGACAAGGTGAAAAGGGAAATGACACACTAGGAGATAGGAATCACAGTGCACAAAGCAGAGGGCCATTTTCTCTCCTATATAAAGAGTTTGTATAAGTCAATAAGAAATTATTGAACCCAAGACAAAAATGCAAAGAACATGAACAGGCCAGTCACAAAAGAAGAAAAGCAAATACCCAAAAATCATGTAAAAAAATCAAAAGCTGTCTACATTAGCAAACGAGAAGTGCAAGTTAAAACACCCACTGTTTGCCTATTTCAACAGGCGAACGTGTTTCGCCTCCGTGACACACAGCCCTGACCAGGCACAGGGAGGCGGCGCTGGGCGTCCTCACCCGCGATGCTGGGGACCCGGGCAGCCCTGCCCCCACCAGCACACGGGCAGCCTTTCTGCGAGGCGTTAGAGGCGTGGGGAACGTGAGGGGCACTTTTCTATCCTCAACTTCCCGGGAAGTCACAACAAACTGCCAGGGGACGCAGCCCCCTCGACGGACGGCTCTCTCTGACTTCTCTGCAGCTAATCATGTTTGAGGATCAAAATGGAAACACAAAGAGGCCCAGTTTGGTGTCAAAGTCCTGCCGGCTCCCAGACCCCATGGGTTAAAGCTCCTGCCAAAGGTGAAAGGTCAGCTTTCAGCACCCAGGTCACCAGCACTTAGAACAACTTTCATCAAGCAGCCTTTGTCTGGGCAATAATTAACTTTCTGTCCCCCGGGGACACGGCCCCTTCGGCACACACAGGGGCCCCTGTCTGGACCACAGAGTGGGGACGGTCCAGATGCCGGCTGGCTCCAGGCTCAGGGCTAGGGGGTCTGTGAGTCAGTGTCCCTGGAGGGTGCCCACGGCGTGTTCGTGGGAGGCGGGAGCCCAGCTAATGCTTCCCACAAGTGAGGGGCTGAGGGCCCGGGAGAAAGACCCAGTCCAGGCTCTGCGATCGGCCTCCCCCCCGAATGAAGGCCAAGGCCAGGCCTGGCGGGGAGGGGCTTCCCCCAGGACACGGTGGAGACCGCCACGAGCCAGCTGCCCTGGGGAAATGGCGCCCTTGCTGCTCACTGCTCGGAGGCTGAGCTGCGGGCCTGCTGCGTGGTTTGGTGACAACACGGGTCAGGCTGATGCTGGTGGGTGACCTGAAGCGGCCACGGTGCAGCCCCCCCACAACAGCCCATGCTGAGCGCTGCGCTCCGCGGATACCACGTTGAGCTTCCCAATTCTGACTGTGCACAGGTCACGTCGTTACGCCTGGACGCCGGCCCCTGCCCACCCAAGGGGGCCTGGAGCCCCGGGGTCACCACAGGCACCACGCATAAGGAGGGGCTCCTGTGTGCCACGGACGGGATGCAGTTAGGAAGGTGACGGTCCCAAGGGGCCTCTGAGACTCCCCCCGGGGCCTGCAGGCGAGCGGCCGGCGGCTCTGCCCCGGGGCTGGCCCTCACCCTGGGGCGGGCACGCGAGGCAGGGGCAGGCTGTCCCTCGTCCCGGTGGCGGGTTCCACGGGGCGCGGTGGCCATCAGCGTACCTGGAACTTGTCGGGGTCCGCTCCTCCAGCCTGGGCCACGAGGAGGCCGGCGCCGGGTTCCAGCTCCAGGGCCCGCGGGGAGCGCACCAAGGGCACCCTCTGGAACAGCTCGCAGTCCACGAACAGTGCCGCGGTGGCGCCATCCACGCTGAGCGCGAAGCGCGTCCACTGGCCGGTGAAGGCGGGCAGGCGGAAGCTGGCGGCCGTGTGGGTGCGGGCGGCGCCAGGCTCGGTGTACAGGAGCTGGACATGCTGGTGCCCGTCACGCACGGCCGTCAGCTTCACGCCCACGGAGACCAGCGCCTGGGCCGCGTCCGTGATGGCAAACAGCACCCCCGCAGCGTCGGTGGCGGGCCGGATGTGGAAGAGCAGGGAGAAGTCGCGGAAGAACGGGCTGGGGAAGTGGTACCGGGCCACCTGGCCGCTGTTGGCGTCCGGGCCGAAGACGAAGGCCGGCCCGACGTCGGGGTCATCCACCTGGGTCACCTGGGGCGGCGGCGGCTCTCCCAGCAGCTGCAGGAGCCCCACCTCCGTGCCCAGGTTCTCTGCAAAGAGGAGGGAGACCCCGGTGAGGCTGTGCCTGGGAGACACCGAGCGGGCGGGGTGCCGGGGGGCACTGAGCCACGGGGGGCTCCCCACCCGCCCGGCACCCTCCCGGGGCCAGGACTCGTGGCTCCCGGGCCCGAAGTGGGGCGAGCATGTGGCTGCACGGCCTGCAGAGGGTGCCGGGGGCTGCACCCCATCCTCACCCCCCATGTGGGTCCACCCCACCCCCCGGACCCCTTCCCACCCTCAGACAGTGGGAAGGAGACTCCGGCCCCCGTCGGGGGGCACGGACCTTCACGACATCACCGCATCACAGAGAGAGAGCGGAGCACAGGCCGCTCCCTGCGGTTTGTCTACCTTGCGATCCAGCCGGGACCTAATCAAAGCCCCGGGGCCGGAAAATCAGAGCGGGAGGCAGCCGGCTGTCCCGGCCGGAACCAGCCGGACTCTGCGCCTGCTCATTCGTGATGCGGCGAGTCCCACCCGAGTGCCCAGGTTTGTCAGGGGCCTTCTTCCCCCTCACGGTGTCCACGCTGCGCTGCCAAGCCGCCCCGACCTGGAGAGGGGCCACGTGGCCGGGAGCCACCGGGGAGAACTGTGGTCTCCTTCACCAACGGATGCTCACACGGGGCGGCCCCTTCCGCTCAAATACCCTCCTCGGTCCTAGAGCACGTGCCCCCGGCCTGGGCTGAGGACGCAGCCACGGCGCCCGGAGTTCTCTCTCATTTCTCGTCCTTCCGGGTGGGACCAGAGGTTGCTGGGGGGGAGGGGGCACCGGCCCTGCCCCCCATGACCCAGCCCTGGGCCCCAGCAGGGTCTGACTCGACCGGGCACCTGCACGAGCCTGCGGGTGAGGCGCCGAGAACACCTCCAGGGAGTGCAGGGGCCTCCGCAGCCGGAAGACCTCAGGGTCGGGTGCTGGGGGCGGAGGGCGGGGCCCGCTGGACACAGGAGGGGCCCCGCCAGCTCAAGGAGACACCCATACGTTGGTGGTTCCCTGCAAGCACGCCCACTTCCCCAGGTGGCGCCCAGCCCGGTCAAGGGCCAGGGCCCGAAGCCCTTTCTCTCGAGGCCCCACCTCCAGCCCGGGTGTGGCCTTCCTCCCAGGTGTGATCACCGGGCACACGCTCTTCTGGAAACGGGCTGCCGACCAGCGGTGTCCTGAGGAAGGTGGGGAGCGAGCTCGCGACCGTGTGCACGAATGTGTGTACGCATCTGTGTGCGCTGGGGGCCTGGGGTCTGCCGGGAGCCACGGGCCCAGACTGGCCCGGGACTTCCCAGGTCAGAGCAGAGAGATGCCGAACCCCAACCTCCTAAGGCAAGTTCTGCTCTCAAAGAGCTCTTTGAGAACAAAGAATGGGAACAGAAGAGAGACAGAAGCCACCCACATGAGGACATGCACTGGGCACCTGCCAGGCCTGGTGCTCGGAGGCGGCGGAGGGCCTCTCGGCTCGGCATGGCCCTGACGTCCCGCCCGAGAGGCAGCACCAGCAGCCAGCCAGGCCTCCCCGAGTCTGGCAGGTGAGACCCTCGCGCAGATGGCAAGTGGGGAGCAGCCAGGCACCGGGCGATAGAAGTCTCGGTGGCACGGTGGCCTGGCCTCAGTGCCAGGGAGCAGGGGCCCTTCCAGAAAGACCCCGGGGCCCTGGGAGATCAGTGGTCACTGGATGCTCAACGACAGACACTGCTGTCCACCAAGATAGCAGCTGCTGTGGTCGTCCCTTCAGATCAGAAGCTCCCCGGGCCTGAGGCGCACACAGGGAGATGCTCTGAGATGAAGCAAACAGGACTCTCACCAGCCTGTGTGCTAGTGACCGTGACTCAACTGTCCCCAGAGTTTCACACGGATATGCCCACCACCGCCCCTCCTCCCAGGCAGCTACGAGCTTTCTAAATTAATTCAGGATGCAGACGCGGCAGCCGCTGGCCCGGCCTCTTCGGGCAGGAAACTGCAATCTGCCCAAGCTCTGGGAGCTCAGAACACCTTGGTGGGAAGGCAGCGGGTGACATCTTTGGCAAGCGGGAGTCTGTCTTGTGAGCCCACACTCCCCTCAGATGGAGGAAACAGGGGGACTTGCCTAGGTGAAGACAATTTCCTTTTCAGCAACCAGGCCAGCCATGACCAAGTGGGATTTAAGCTAGGTATGTGAGGCTGGTTTGACATTTGAAAATCAACAAACGGAAAATCCGTCTCATCAACAGGCTAACAAAAAAGAATCACAAAATCACATCAGTAGATGAAGAAAAAGCCTTTGACAAAATCCAACACTCATTCATGGTAAAAACTCTCAGTAAACTAAGAATAAAGCAGAATTTCCTCCAATTGATGAAGAATATCTACTTAAAAAATTTTTTTTTACATTTATTTACTTTTGAGAGATAGAGACAGCGCACAAGCGGGGGGAGGGGCAGAGAGAGAGGGAGACACAGAATCTGAAGCAAGCTCCAGGCTCAGGGCTGTCAGCACAGAGCCCAACATGGGGTTTGAACCCATGGTCTGTGAGATCATGACCTGGGCCAAAGGGGGATGCTCAATCGACTGAGCCACCCGGCGCCCCTGAAGAATATCTATTTAAAAAACCCGTACAGCTCATATCATACATAATGTGGAGACTCTTGAAGCTTCCCACTAAGATCAGGTACAAGGTAAGGATGTCTCTCTCACCGCGCCTTATCAATATCATGCTGGAGGTCCTTGCTAACGCAGCAAAGCCAGACAAGGAAACGAAAGTACACAGATGGGGAAAAGAGAGATAAATCTGTCTGCAGATGGCATGACTGTCTATGCAAAAAAAATCCAAAAGAATTGACAAAACAAAACAAAAACACTCCTGGAACTAATATTATAGCAAGGTTATAGGATACAAGATTAATACACAAAATTCACTTTCCTATATACCAGCAATGAGCAAGCAGAATTTGAAAAACATAATACCATTTACGTTAGCATTCCCACAAGTTAATTACTTAGGTGTAAATATAACAAATATATGTACAATATCTATGTGGAGAAAACTAGAAGACTCTGCTGAAATAAATCAAAGGCCTAAATAAATGCAGAGATATTCCATGTTCATGGATAGGAAGACAATACTGTGAAGATGTCAGTTCTTCCCAACTTGGTCTATAGATTCAATGCAATCCCCATCCAACTCCCAGCAAGTTACTTTGTGGATATTGACAAACGGATTCTGAAGTTTATAGGAAGAGAGAAAAGACCCAGAATAGCCAACACAATGTTGAAGAAGAACAAAGTTGGAGGGGAGGACTGATACCATCGACTTCCGGACTCACTATAAAGCTACAGTGATCAAGACAGTGCGGTGGTGGAGAAAGAAACAAACTGATCCGTGGAACGGAACAGAGAACCCAGAAAGAGAGCCCCACAGAGACAGTTACTGGTTCCTCGACAAAGGAGCAGAGGCAATCGGGGGGCAAAGGGAGTCTCTTCAACAAGGGGTGCTCGAAGAACCGGACACCCACACGCAAAGGGGGACCCTGGACACAGGCCTTACACTCTTCACAACAATTAACTCACAGTGCGTCCCAGACCTAAACGCACAATGCAAAACTGTTTAACTTCTAGAAGAGAAAACAGGAGAAACCTAGGTGACCTCGGAGAGGAGGGGACTTTTAGATCCAGCACCAAAGCTACCACCTAATTCATAAACTGGACTGCAGAGAAGTGTAAGGTTTCTGTTCTGCGAAGACACTGGTGAGACGGGAAGACGAGCCAGAGGCTGGGAGAAAATACGTGTAACACATGCATCTGATAAAAGAAGACACGTACGAACGACACAAACAACACTTAAAGCTCAACAATAAGAAAATGAACTCAATTAGGAAATGTCCAAACGGCCTGAAGAGACGCCTCCCCAGAGACGACACGCAGTGTCCACGTCATCAGGGAATGAGAGTGAAGACGACGACGACACCACCGCGCACCCGTGAGGACGGCCACACCCCAGAACGCCGACAACGCGGATCGCTGGCGGGGACGCGGAGGGACGGGCGCCTCCTTCCTGCCGCTGGGAGAGCAGAGCGGTGCCGCCGCCTCGCAAGACGGTTGGCTGGGTTCTCACAAAACTGAACACGCTCTGACCACACGACCCCGCAATCACGCTCCTGGAGGTCTGCCCGGAGGAGGTGACCATCCACATCTGCATGACACCTGCACACAGATGCTCACAGCAGCTTCGTCCATAACTGCCAGACCCGGGAGCCACAAGGTGCCCTCCGGGAGGGGACGGGCAGGTACGCCGGTGCCTCCCGACACCGGGACGTAGGCAGCGCCAAAAAGAAACGGGCCGTCAGCCACGAAAGACACGGAGGAACCT